CGCGGCAATTCGTTGTCTTTTATTTCGAAAGCGTGCATTCCAACATAATGGTCGGGCCGTAGTTCACATTAATGGGCAATACACGCGGTCGTGATGTGACGACATCGCGAAAGTAGCTGTGCGTTGGCAGAAGTGAACGGCACGGAGTCTGTGATTACGTCCGCGAGTAAATATGCTCTCCTCGGCTGTACCCGGTAATATTCCTCGCTTTTCATGATGTGCGATTTGTCAGTCTGCATACGTACGATCCGGTCTACCAAATATTCCGGAAGAAGAAATAAATATCTTTTCAGTGAAATCGATTTTTAGTGAGAAGTGCCATATCAACATGGATTTAATTATGTACCAGATTTTTTATCTTTAATATATATTTTTTTAAATACCTTTAAATTTTAGCAAAGTATTTAAATTTATGTCGCGTTAACAATTTCTCGGTAAACTTGGAGAATAGGAGATATGAATTGCGAAATTACACAATCGATCCCGCTGATTTGAATTCGATATGTAAGTTAACGTTTGATAAACAATCTTTTTTAATAGCTTAAATCGCGTATTAATTTTTAAGTAAGTTATAAAATCTTCTGAGTAAGTTATAAAATCACCCATTCTCTCTCAATCGCGATCCATACAAAAGAGCAGGTGATGAATATTGAATTCGGAAATAACAGCTGCGGGTAATTGGCGAACTGCGCAAGTAATTCTATGTATATCACGATTTAACGGTAGGTAATGTTAATATGGAAAAATCGTAAATGAGAAATTATTACTGCGGTATTCTTTACATCACGAAAATTCGCCCGACTCGCGTAAAGCATCGCGATTCTTATAAAATTCTCTCTTTTTATTCTCGGTAAAATTTGTCCGGCAAAAGTATGTTTAAGGATATGACGTTGCGAGATTTATTTCCCCACCGCTCTCGGGAAATATTCCGTGCTTGATATCTTGTTCTCCGAGAAAAAAAAAAAAACAGAGAAAGAAAGCGAGACAGCGAGAGACCCGCAGTTTCGCAGAGCGTTAAGGTTTTCCAGGACGAGCCGCGTCTTACGGTCATTCTTCTTGGCTTCTCTCCCGGTCAGTTTTCCTCGTTTCGTTTTCCAGCTCCGGTTTACTTTCTGCTTGGGAGACCATCGAGGATCTTAATAAATCGCTCCACGGCTCGATTTTTCGTAACGGTCGTCCGGAAAAATGGAGTATCGTTTCACATATCCGACAGATCCCTTAGAAATTGGCGACCCTCTTTTACGTGTGAACGATGCTCTTAATCTACGGATAATTTACTCCTATCGCGGTCGTCGGTATAACGGTTTTTTTTCTATGGGAATAGGAAGAAAGGATATTTTCACCTCGATAATTTGTTCGGCTTAGCATTATCCGATATTAGACACACACAGATTAACTTATAAAATATATATATTGTTTAAGATAAATATTAATATATTGGAAGAGAGAGAATGTGTTAATTATTGTAGGCATTTATAGAAAATGTAGAAAATTTTGATCATAAAATCTAAACACGCAACACAAACTCAGTCAGACATGTTTAATTGGGTATTACTGTCATTCCTTTCCGTATTCCAATGTATATCGACAGTTTAAAAGTCTATTATCGCAAGCAAGATCGGGGTGCGATCGCTTGTCGTCTGGCGGCAAAGTAGTTGAAGTTTGTCGGCAGCACTTCGGAAAACTGCCAGATCTGGCTGAGAGTTTTGGGGAAATTCTATCGAATTCACACGGACTCACGAAAGCGAAACTCACGTCGATCATTGTATCGTTCTTTGTTACAGCTGTAAACTTTGTTGCGCTCGATATTCAGATATCGACGCTTTTAGATTGGATAAAGATTTGTGAATAGATATTCAAATTATGTCGCGATAACAGATACAAATCTGTATTTTTATTAACTAATTTAAATGTATATTTTTTTAATGTTTAGGTAAATAATTAGGTAAAAGAGGAAAGCATCGTAAGCAAAGAAAATAAAAAATAAAACGAATTGACACACACAGAGAAGTATCTATGTTATATTCGTGTTCAATCAGATTAACTCTGAGCAATACGCGTTGCGTGCGAAAAGTTTGTTGGATCATAAAAACGGGATATTCACGAGTGTTTCCAGGAAACACGTGGAAAATTGCGGAAACAATCCGCGGCCGGTGAAAATCTCGTCGTGGAAAAAATGAGCGCGCCGGATATTTCAATCAACTCGCCGGATTGCACGATATCGCTGCTCGAAAGTCGGCGTGATTGGATCGCTTCTGCCTGACTCGATTCTGTACCGATCGATCGTTCGTTGATTTTTGACGACTGCAAAATACAAATGAGAATGAGAGAAGGAGAGGAGTCGAGCGTTAAAAATAATCTACGCGAGACAGAATAATCATATTTCACGATTACGCGGCGGCGGTGACGGAGCGCGTGGAAAATTGAAAAACGAGGTTGAATCACCAGGATAGCCATTGAAAATTAGTTTTCGTATTCATTTGCTCGCCGAGAAAGTATATTTCATCGGCACGCGTGTGATGAATCATGACCGGCACGCTGTTACGCATTCACCCATTCAAATAAACGTTTCAATCTGTCGTGGCCCGATCGGCCTTCATCGTTCCTGTTCAAGGGACGATAAAATATGGACGATATGCAGGAAGGGACAAATTGCGACAGAGAAAGAGAGAGAGAGAGAGAAAGTGGAAGAAGAAAAGAGAAGAGAGAAAAAGGTAGAGTATCAATCGATTGATAAAAATATATTTTATCGTATTAAATGAAACAATGTCGTGAAATGAAGAATGATAGGTGTAAGCTAAAATCGATAATAAAATATTTTTGCATTACAGACTGCAATCTTTTTATGGAATCAAAACTAAGCGTATTGAATAACTTGTGCACAGTACTAGTATTTTACCGATAATCTTTATATATTTATTTGCATTTATCTTTTTGATAAATTTGCATCTGCCCGACAGATTGCGTTTAAATTCTTATATGTACCGGTGTAAATTTTCTCCGCGTCAATAATCAGTTCGCGGCGGAATAGCTATAATAAGCGAATGCGATAAATAATGCAGGCGACCGTCGTCTGTCTCTCCTCTCAGAATAAACGTAGCAATCTGTCACGGCTGTCTTTTTCTCTCCATCTCTCTTTTTAAACCCCGACTAATAAATGGGGATACGTATGCCGTTCGAGGCGGGGCGGTAAAAAACGGGTGAGATGCGAGTGGGGTATTACTACACTAGGATAGAGAAAGGATCGCGGAGGGAAATGAGGAAGGCGAGAGATGGAGACAAAACTCGACAATAGAGCGGATGATCCTGCAATAGCGGGACACGAACGTCGAGTGGATCAAGGGGGATAGAAGGGGCGAAACGAGAACAATGCTGCCCGTTATTATTTTCTATTTGCTGCGTCAGACCAACCGTCCACTCAAAACCACGGTGTTCATTCACTTCCGATTCACTCATTGTCAGATCTATCTCGACGCTTCGCTATAATTTTCACATTTTTACGCGAAGCTCGCAGACATCCATCTCTGTATTCAGATTTTTTTCCGCATGATCTATGCTACATCTTCTTTACAAGAAACGTGTTTCGTTACTTTGCACGAGAGAGCCATTTTCTTCTGCGACAAATAATTTACCTCGCGCGATCGTCTCTGGAATACGTGTATTTCAAGCGCATCGGAAAGTAATTCAATCACGCGATGTAACGGTAAACGAGGATAATCGATTACACGAAGAATCGCTATCGGCGCATTCGACAGGATCACGAATTTATGCGTTACTATGGCAGCGTGGCTAATGTATTTACTTATCCGTTTATTACAAAGCTCGTCGGAGTTAAATTTGGTTACCGGGTACTTACCCGGCAACTAACGCAAAGCGAATCAATGACCCAGTTCGCCCCGGCGCGCTAAATTATTTTTCGTTATCGATCGCGCGCTCTTGGCTGACGCTATTATTTCGCGTTAATCGTGACTAATGAAGAAGTGCCGCGCGATTGAAAACGCGTTGTCGAGAGTGCTTTTAACGCATTTCGCGATAGAAACTCGCTGCTTACTCTGGATATCCGAGATGATTATTGTACGTATCGGATACGGAAAATATTACGGAATTGAATGTAAATTAGATATTTATTAGAAATAAATTAGATATATTGATTGGAAAAGTTGCAATTTTGAAAAAAATATGGTAATCGAGATAGATCGTATATAACAACTCCCAACAAGTCGTTAGATCGCAGCTGAAAGTGAAGTCGAAAGGATTGTGACAATTTGATTTATGAACACTATAAGAACAAACGGGTCGTTTAGGGATAACGAGTACAACGGGGGTGAACCTTCCTTTCTTAGTCGCGCGGAAGAATTTTATCGGGTAATTTCCAGCGGCTTCTAACCGTTTCGTCGGATTCGAGATTCAGTCCTTTTTTTTTGTGCCGCCCTCCAGTCCGTTTCCGCTGGTTTCCGGAGATCCAATGAGGTCTTCTCTTTTGTCGTTAATCATTTCCGTCTGCTTCTCGTCAGATTGTCTGACCTGCCATCTAGAAACGAAACTGTTCTTGCA